TGGTTGGGCATCTGCCTTTGGCTCAGGTCATGATCTCGGGGTTCTGGGATTGAGCCCCACATTGGGCTCCCTGCTCTGTGGGGAGTCTGCTTCTCCTTTTCCCTCTGCCTGCTGCTCCCCATGTTTGTACTCTCTCTCTGTCAAATAAATAAATAAATAATCTTAAAAAAATTATTATTGTAATTCCAATTACAAAGTTATAATGTGCTCGATTTGGGCAAATTTAGAGAATGTACAGAAGAATAAAGAGGAAAATAAATACCACCCAGAGAGCGACCACCGTTGCTAATATTTTAGCTTGTTTCTCTCCAGATTCTTTTCTATATGCGTTATGTAAATTATTACATAAATCATCTCATAACCAACATGGCATTTCCATTAGGCATCATGGGCTACGATATGATGACTCAGTGGCAAACATTTACCCAGCAGTAAGCCAAACTTTCACACATTGCAGGGCAGAGGACGAAGTCAAATGACACCACGAGAAACCATGAGAAACATCAACGTAGTTGGGGGTGGGAAGTGTGTGTGTGTGTGTGTGTGTGTGTGTGTGTGTGTGTGTGTTTGTGTTGGGAGGGGGTGTTTAGCTTTTAAAAAACTGAAAAAGATAAAACAAAAAAGATTATAAAAAAGGCAATGCTTGATTTGAAAGGCTCCTATTTGGAGGGGGAAAATAAATAAAGACCCAGCCGTTCCACAGGACATTTTTGGGGTTGAATGAGAAAATTTGAATATGGACCACATATCTGGTCATAGGAAGGACTTACTATTCATTTTCTTAATCGCAAAGAAGGTTTTGTGATGATGTTAGACCATGTCCCCATTCTTAGGAGCAGGTGGTGAAGAACTGAGGGACGAGGTGGCTCATTTCTCAGCCAGCACCCGCTGCCCTACCCCACCCCACCCCCAGGTCCAGGTCATGCCCTCAAGCCCCCACCTGGGCTGGGGAACTTGGTGGAGCAGACAGACAGACAGACAGACTCCTGTCCTGACCCAGGCCATTCCTTGGCCATTTCCAGAGGGCTCTCAGGTGGCCTCTCACCCCCCCAAGTGACAGGGAGGGAGCCAGGAGCCTTGTTTACGCTCCCTCCCCCAAGGCTGAGCACCCTGTTGTATAGATGAAGACACCGGAGCACAAGAAGGGGACATCCTCTGCTCCAAGCACAGAGCCAGGATCAAACCCAGGTTCACCTGACTCAGGGACTGCTGCACCACATCCCTCCTGCCCGTCGAGGAAGCCAAGTGCCGTTAGATTGTCTGGCCGTCCCTGGTAGATCTGACGGCTTTCTGAGCAGACCAGGTGAAGACCACCTGTGAACCCACCAAACTCATGCTAATGCCACGGCCTTTGCACGGCGCTTCCTTCTGCCTGGGACCCCTGCTCCCATGGTGCCCCGTGGCCTGCTTTTCCCAACCAGCCCTCAGCCCCACACTCTCTCTTGGACATTGCCCTGTTTTGCCTTCTTCATAACAGTTACAAATTCACAAGCTGTATTACTTCCATATATGTCATTCTCCCCCCGCGAGACTATGGTGAGCTCCACAAGGGAAGGGCCACAGCCGTCTTGTTCACTGCAACCCCAAGGCTTATGACCACGCTTAAGAGGGGCTCACAAGTGAATGTGAGGGCCCAGGATCCCACAGCTCTGCCGCCTCGAACCCCAGGAAACTTTCCCACTCTGCAGTCATGTTCAGACCCTTCTCGCGCTGTTTTGTGCAACTGGCTCATGCTTCTAAGACACTAGAACTCTTCACCCTCTCCCGCCCCAGTCTGGTGGTTGCAGAGTTGCCACATGCTGAGACATGTAGGCTAGCCACTGAGCTACACTTAGGTGTACGTAAGCGCTAACCTTTACCAAACTCTAAGGCAGGTCCTATTTTAGAGACAAGAAAAGAGACTGAGGGAGGCGAAGCTGGAGCCTGCAGTCACATTGCAGGTGTGCCTACTTCTAGAGTTTTCCAAAGCTCATACACACGCCTCAATCAAAACACGCTTCCTCCCCGCTGAGAGTTGAACACTTTTTGTGTCTTCCCCTTCAAAGTGTCACGGAGGGACCTCACACTCCTACAGAAGGTTCCCAGTAACTGTTGGGTTATAGAAGGGTCTGGCTGGTGCTAGGGACGTCACCAGGCAAGGCAAGAAGGGGCCAATCCAAACGTTGACTTTGGGAACAAGAACTGGAACCAGAATCTGTCCTCACTTGTCAGGAAGAGAAGCCAACGGCTTTCCAGGAGGGCCTGAGACAAGGGTGAAGAGAAAAGAGCAGCAACAGCTTGAGAGCAGACCGGACCTGTCCTCAGGCGGGCAGGTGTGTGGGCTGCAGGGTGGGGAGGGCAGGCTGCGGGAGGAAGGGCCAGAGATTCCAAAATGGAAGATACCGTATGCCACGCACTTCTGCTTCCGCCACCCCCCAGTGCCAACGCCAGCCAACTTCTGCATGAAGACACCTTCCCTGGCCCAACTCCACTCAGGGTAGAGCTGGTGGCTCCTACCACACCGAGGGTTGGGGGCCATGATTTGTTTCCGGCTGTGCCCACCTTCTCTGCAGAGCAGAGCTAGTCTCCAGGCCAGCCTCATACACCTGGGCACTGAGCCTGGACCCAGGAAACATGGGAGGAGCAAACTCAGGGCATTCCTTGTCGCAGGTAGCAGCCCTGGGGACCGGGACTCCGCAGGACAAGGGGTTAAAGAGGGAGAAGCTGAGGAAGTACCCTGGGTTCTCAGCTAGAGACAGAGTCACTGACGCCCTTCCCACGGTGGAGCCCCTGGACCGTGGCGCATCCCAGGGAAAGAGGCTGTTGCCCGAGCTCTGTGACCAGAGCGCCCTCAGTGAGAGCATCTCAGCTGATGTCTGGCACACGCAAGGCCCCGGGGTGGGAAGGGCACATCTACACAGAAGGTAGGCGCAAGTGACAGCAGAGGAAACCCACAGGGCCTGAGAGGATTCTCACAAAGGGTAAGCAATGGGAGGATGCTTCGCTGGGTGCTTGCCTGAGGCTGCGGTCGGGGGGGGTGCGCGGCCAGCCTGCCCTGCCCAGATTCAGCTCAGGAAGTACAGCTGCCTTCTGGGCAAAAACAGAGGAGCGATTTCATGCGCTGTCAACACCTTTTCCTCTGGTGAAAATGGGGACACTCAACATTTCTTCACACTCTGTTGGTGGTCTACTTAACTGCCTACTCTGGGTGCTGGGGACATGCACATACGTGCACAGGAGGCTAAGGGACACCCAGTAAGGATCTCTCACACCTGTAGGGCGTCCTGAGGGTGAAAGAGTGAAGTTATGCACAGCCCATTGGAAGGCAACAACCTCCCATTTCACAGACGTGTGAAAGCAAAGTTCACAGGAAATGCCTCGCTTAGGAATTCCTAAAGCAGGGATGCAAGCCTAGGTCCTCTGACTCCGAATACCACCACCCTCCTGCCCTGTCTAAAGGAGGTCAGAGATCGTGCCATTTTCAATCCGTTGCCTTTTCATAAGAACAACATAGGAGCAGGTTCACCAATGGAAAGAACCCTGACCACTTCTCGCCTTCCCTGGGTTCTAAGAGGCGACTGATGCAGATGGGGCAGGAAAAGCTGGAGACAAGGCAGGAGGTGGGGAGCTGGTGCCTAGAAGGAGAGGGTCCAGCGTCAAGTCCCAACTTGAGAGGAAGGGAGAGAAACAAACCCACCAGATGTGGTCATTGTCTGAATTGTTCATCTTAATGCCCGGGGCCCAGCTCAGAGCCGAGGAGACACCGAATAAATGTGTGATGAATTGCAGCTAAAGATTAAAAGCCCCAAGTGGGGAAAGTTCTGCAGTGGTGGGTGGTGGGCCTCTGCCTTGAAGAGCAGACATCCTTGGGACTCGGGGCGTTCCTTTTCCCACAGCAAGGTGGAGAGCAAAGGAGTGCCAGAGGGCAGGGGAGGTGGAATAGGAAGGGAGAGACGGAGAGAGGTGGGCCTGGAGGACTCCGTAATGACAGATCTTGAGCTTAGGGGCTGAGTGCTACCACTGGAGCAAGGTTTTCAAACTTGAGCAAGGTTTTTAAACCTAAGAACAATGAGAGATACCTACAGGTCTGATCCGAGGGCCAGCTGCACTAACATGCATGAATGTGCTCTGTGAGTTGCAAAAATTAAGCACCTGTATTCTTACAGGCAAGGCCAAATTCTTCCTTCTGCAGAAGCACCAAATGACAACTGCCCTTGGCTAGGTCACTCTTTGGGGAAGAGGTGATCTTGACTTCTGAGGCCCTTTCTTCAGAAACAGGAAAATCCCTTATAGAGGCCCTGAATTGTCCCAAGAATGGCTTCTTGGACTTTCGGCCTCTTCGGAGGATGTTACTGCACCATGATCGGCTCAAAACAGTGCGCTGAGTGCTCCAGGGGATCCGAAATCTTATCTGCTGACCCGTCCCTCCCCAACTTGCATGGCCCTAATACTCTGTCTGTCCCAAGCTCTAAGGAAGAAGTCTGTGCTCTGAGGGGCAAAGCCACCGCTCAACAGCCCAAGACCAAGGGTCTCTTGATTCCTAGCCTATTCCTACCTTCCAGAATCCTCTTCCTATACACCCCGTGCTGCCCATGGCCTTTCCCCACCCTGGTCCCAGGCAACGAAGAGAGGAGAACCCAGTTGCCCACTCCACGTTACACCACTATATCCCCACTTAGAACATGCCAGGCCCTAAAAGCCTCATCTTAGAAGGCGGTAAGCTTCGAGGATAAGGATTTCGCAATGCGTTAACACAACACATAAAACTGGCGTAGATTTCAACATTTTTTTCACCTAATTCCTTGTTGCTTACTTTACATAATCCTCGTCTTCTCTCACTTGCCTGACCAGTGACAAGAAGCAAGGTTTCTAGTGCTTACTCACAGCTTACGACGCGCTTCGCCGCACAGTATATATTTTTCCACATAAGAGAATATAGTTAATGGTGGGAAGACCTCGACCAGGAGGCAGGTCTTTTATTTGAGAATTGCCCTTACCCAGCTCCCGCAAACAGGGGCGGGAAGGGCCACGTGACATAACACAGATGGTCTGAAAACCTTATGCCCACTAAGTTATGATTAGCGGCACAGCCCCCAGGGCTGAAGCAGTGTTGACAAGCAGGTAAAACCGGACGGGCCCAAAAGCTGTAGGCACCATCTCTTGTTGACCATCTTCTTGAGCTCACATATATGCCCGGACCCTGCTCCCCAAAGCCATAAGCCATTCACAGCCTAGATTATAACTGCCTGGGTAGGCCTATCCCAAGGAGACTTGGAAAAGGTAGGGAGATCAAAAGTTCCACGGACTGACAGGGGCCCAGACAGCTAGGACAGCAAAAGCCCCCAACTGGTCAGCATGCTAGGCGTCCAGGTGCCACGATCTAGGTATCTCTCCCGATCTAGCTATCTCTCCTGTGGCCTCTCCCCTATTCACCCTTCCCAAGTAGCCTCTGACTCGCTGCCGCCGAGAGGCCCCTTTCTTCCCTCCTTGACTCTCTTGGGTTCCCTCTCTGCCACTGGAGTTCCTCTGGGCTCCAGCAGCACTCTAAAGAAATGCAAGGATTGCAGACTCGGGGATCAGGAGGTGCCAAAGGGACAGCCACACCTCTGGTGTGGGTAAGATGGGCCGCTCTGGCTCTGGGCCCAATACCTTGGGCTCCCAATACCTTTGGGAGTGCAGATGAGGGAAGGGCATTCCTGGCAGGATTTAGAGACAGAGGACCATTCAGTAGTTGAGAAGTCTGAGAGTAACTCTGGCCCAGCTGGACCTGTTGCCAAACCAGCGTAGGGCTGCTAAATCCACACTGCTCCAAGCCGCTCTTGACCTGGGCTTTGCAAACTCTCCTTCCAATTCCCGACCCCGGTGCCCAAGAACCGACCCTTTAGGGGGTGGGTCCTGGTAGTCCTTGCAAGCCTGAGAACAGGAGCTCCCGGGGCGGTCTCTCCGTGGCAGCCATTGCGGACCTTCTCAGAGCAGGAGCAAGCCCGGCGGGGACAGGCCTTTTCCTTCCTCACCCCCTACTCTGGCTGGAGAGTGAGGGACGTGCGCTGAATCCCACACCTGGCTCCTCTCCCGCTCCGATCCTCGGCGCCCAGAAGCGGCCATCTTCCGAGCTGGGGATGCCAAACTCCTAGGGCCCGAGGGCCCGCTTTGGGGAGTACCTGGCTCCTTGTGAACCCGGCGGAAGGACGCGGGAGGCGTGTGTCCTTAGCGCGCTCGGTAGACCCGGTTCCCCACCGCTTGGATCTGCACCGCGCTGCTGCCTCCCGGGCTCCAAAATCCGACCCCCATAGCCAGGTGGCCCCGCTGTCCTAAAGGATGAGGATTTGGGGCGGAGAACGAGCGCAGTAGGCACACTTTCCTTGCCTCCTGGACGCTCCATTCAGCGCTGAAGGTCTGGTTTGGAGCCCTGGGATCCCTGGCTCCTGACTCCCGCCTGCAGAAGAGAAAGGCGGCAGGAGAGCCCCCACACCCTTACCGTAGCATCCTCCCCCGCGTAGTGCCCGATGACCCGCTGGCCCCCTGGGTGCCGGCTGGACCATTTGGTGATGTTGTAGACCTTGCGGTCGATGACGAGCCACTTGTCCGTGCGCAGGTTGTGCTTCTGAATCTCCTCCCAGCTGAAGGTGGCCATGGGCGCCTCGCGCTCGGTGGCCCCCTCGCCCTGGTTCCCCCCTTTCCCCATGCTGCCTGCTGACCGGGATGCCCCGTGCACTGTGGCCTCCACGCCCGCAGCTCGAGTGTGCGGCCCGGGCCCTCCTCCCTTTCGGCTTTTGTCTTCTCCTACTCCTCCTCCCGCCGCGCCCTTCCCCCAGCCTCCTTGCCCGCGCTCGGGAGTCACCCCTGCCTTCCCTCTGACTATCCCCGGCTACCCAGTGCCCCCAAGCGGTGTCTTTGCTCCGCCCCGCCCTCCGCCCGCCAGCCAGCCCGCAGTGGACTTCTGCCTCCAGGAAAAACTCCGGGGTCGTTCAGGACCCGGACGCCTCTTCCGCCCGCCCCTTCGGCTCCCCCCGCCCGCGGCTCCGCATCCTCCCGCGTTCCCCGCCGCCCTGGTTTCCACAGTGATCAGCAGAGCGCCTGCACCAATCCGGGCGCGTCGCCCCGCCTGCCATTGGCCCAGGAGGATCTTTCGAAGGCCAGCGGGCTGGAGCGGTGGTCCCCGGCTCCCCCGCCCGCGCGCCGGCGCTGAGTCGAGCCCAGCCGCGAGGCCGCTACGTGGCCGACCTCCCCC